CATAAGGGTTGATGGGAAGGACACTGGTAGCATCAGCATGGCACATCGACGCCTCTCGTTTGACTGTAAATCCAGACCTGTATTCAATCACCAGAGCGCTGGCATTGCTGGTCAGATAAGAAGCAGTGATGACATGGAAAAGGTAAAAATTGAAATTCATGGATATAATGCACATTGTTGTTTTGAAAGTTCTTAATAGAACTTTTAATGGTTTTTTTTCACAGGTTTCTGCGTTACTGAGTAAAGACGTCACGTCAGATGAGAACCTGGCTGAGACGATTCATCATGAACACTTTGCAGGTAAGGCATGATCACAATGCATGACGTAATGGTTTTTAATGTTTCTAGAGGCAGGAATTTCAATTGGTTAGCATGTAGCGACAAAAACGGGTTTTAACTTGTCAATGATGAATAATCTAGGTGCGTCTGAATTTCTGTGGCAGCAGCTGTATGGCAAACATTATCTTGATGTTTAGGGTGTGATCCTGTTATATATGTGAAAATATGTGTCCATGTGTAATTTAAATAAGAATAAAAGAATATAAAATGTAGGAATAAGAATGAAAAAAGTAATTTAATTATAATAAAAATTTATATTATTTTATTAAGCACAATCATTCGTATATTTTAAAATATATTCTATTCAAATTCCTCTCTTTTAGGATCTGGAATCTCCACACACACCCTTGACAGTGGCATTGGCACCTTCCCTCTTCCTGACTATAGTGCAAATGCTGGTTGCAAAAGCATTCCCAAAGGGAAGGCTCATGGGGAGATTGACCCTTCTCATCTCCAGGGAAAACATAGCTCAGGGATGAAAATGTCCCACAAGGCCTGGACTTTGGAGAGAGAGTTGTCATCTTTAGAAGAGGATTATATGGGGGGTCAGGATATGGATCATCACACTGGCACTTTGGAAAACAAGATTCCATCCAGCCAGATCGCAAACATCATTCATGATGGTATATAATACTTTTTAACCGTCACTTAAGGTTAATCAGTTATGTGAGTTTTCAATGTAGAAAAATTGTACATTGATTAAGAGAAAGAAGTTCCAGATGGTGTTTTTTATTCTTTATTTCTCAGCTTCGATTGATTGATTTATTTATTTCAGGCACTGATATCTGTGGAGCACCTATGAAATTAGGCCCCACAAAGAACTGGACTTTCCCAAACCTCAAAGCATCTGCAGAGCCGTCTGAGGTTTATCTTGGCGTTGGAGACGGAGTGGAGCCAGTGAGTCATAAGACTTCATTTAAGAGGGTGAGCATCACTTTAGATCCTAGTGTCACCCAACAGGACAATTACAATAATTTTTTTTTTGATTAAAACTATTTATGTACACTACCATTCAAAAGCTTGAAGTTGGTATTGCTTTTTTCTTTCTTTT